ATTTTTGGCATCTGGAACGGATTGATTGGATTTACATTATTTCTTATGGGGGAAATGGTTTCGGTTTTTGCCGATTTCAGTTTTTGCCAATCTCTTGAACGGATTAATGACGAAAACAGAGGGTCTACTTTACATACATTGCACATAGACCCCAATCACAAAGAGTCGTGGAAGACCTCCAGTGGCTTCTTCCAAACCCCTGGTCCAACCAGAGGAAACACTGTGAGCAGTTTTGTCAGTGCTTCTATACAATCAATAGGTAGGGAGCTGCAGAATACATCTTCCCCAGGAACTGGAGAATACATTCTACCTCAGTGTCTCCTGACTGGCTCTTATTATTCCAGAAGTTGCTCTTCACTATGCCTTTGGCCCAGACCTGCGAGCAGCTTTCTATGAGACTGTTAAATAAAAAATCGGGGAGCAGTTGAACATATAGGTGGTGCTCTGTGTACCTAGGGTTACTAAATCTTTTGTTCCCAAGCCTGATGGTATTGCTCATTGGATGTTAAAAGCAAGCCCTGTCAGAGTTTTATGTGAAGAATTTAATACACGAGTGTGAAACGGAAACCTGTAATTGTTTTACATGATGGTAGGATTGCTGGTGTGTGTGTGTCTCATAAACACATGGGATAACAGGTATATTTTGCTACTTCTACTTGCACTTAAGTTGCACCACACATACATGTACACGCATATTATACATTTACACACCCCGCTTTGGTGGGGTGCAGCTGGTTTGTTGAAAGATGATGATCTCGGTTTTCTTCTGTTTTCTCAGTAGTTCTTGTTCTTTATTTTCTCTTATCTCTATGGGGAAGTGGAAAAGAATTCTTCCTCCGTAAGCCATGCGTGTTGTAAGAGGCGACGAAAATGCTGGTAGAAAGGGGCTGGTAACTCCTTCTCTATAAGTTACTAAATTTAATTTTCTTTCTCTCGAGCCAGACAGTTCTCATGCCCAAATTACCCAACCTTTTGAAGTTTAGACCATATACAGTGGACCCCCGCATAGCGACCTTAATCCGTGCAAGAGGGCTGGTTGTTATGCGAAATGTTCGGTATGCGAATGAATTTTCCCCATAAGAAATAATGGAAATCAAATTAATCCGTGCAAGACACCCAAAAGTATGAAAAAAAAAATTTTACCACATGAAATATACATTTTCCTACACACAAAGAGAAGGATACATGCACAATAGTAGAGTAGTACATGCACAATATATATTGTGCATGTACTACTCTACTAAATGAAGAATAAATGACACTTACCTTTATTGAAGATGCAGCAATGACTGATGAGACACTGTGTCCTGGGAGTGCCTTTTCCTCCTGAGTACTGTAGGTCCTGTTTGGCATTTTCTTCCAGAACAGGCCTTATCACACTGTGTATGCCACTACGATTCTTAAATCTCTCAAATCAACTTTGCTGGCTTTAAATTCACCAATATGAGCACTAGTTCCAGGCATTTTTCCCTGTTCACCTGGGTGTTAGTCGACTGGTGTGGGTTGCATCCTGGGAGACAAGATTAAGGACCCCAATGGAAATAAGTTAGACAGTCTTCGATGACACTGACTTTTTTGGGTTATCCTGGGTGGCAAATCCTCTGGGGTTAATTGTTTCTTGGTATTCTCAATAAGCCACACCAACAACGGTTGCTACAGCAGCAGCAGCAGCTGACGGTGTACAGCAGCAACAGACGATGCTACAGCAGCAACAGACGATGCTACAGCAGCAACAGACGATGCTACAGCAGCAGCAGACGATGCTACAGCAGCAGCAGACGATGCTACAGCAGCAGCAGACGATGCTACAGCAGCAGCAGACGATGCTACAGCAGCAGCAGACGATGCTACAGCAGCAGCAGACGATGCTACAGCAGCAGCAGACGATGCTACAGCAGCAGCAGCAGACGATGCTACAGCAGCAGCAGACGATGCTACAGCAGCAGCAGACGATGCTACAGCAGCAGCAGACGATGCTACAGCAGCAGCAGACGATGCTACAGCAGCAGCAGACGATGCTACAGCAGCAGCAGACGATGCTACAGCAGCAACAGACGATGCTACAGCAGCAGCAGACGATGCTACAGCAGCAGCAGACGATGCTACAGCAGCAGCTGACGGTGGTACAACAGCAGCAGCAGCTGACGGTGGTACAACAGCAGCAGCAGCTGACAGTGCAGCAACAGGTGACGGTGGTACAGCAGCAGCAGCAGCTGTACCACCAATAGTAGCGATGGTTGATTGGGGTTTATTATACAACCTGGCCAGCTCGGAGACACGCACTCCACTTTCATACTTATCAATGATCTTTTTCTTCATCTCTATAGTAATTCTCACCCTTATTGCTGTAGGGTTGGCACTAGAAGCTTTCTTGGGGCCCATGGTCACTTATTTTCCAGAAAAAATCACCAAAAACACTGTAATAATACGAAATGTTCCGATTGTATGCTTGGATGTTACCGCGGAGGCTGGCTGGTAAACAATGCCACCGGCGGAACATGTGAGCGTGGCTCAGGCCGCACATTGGACGCTTCTCGGACGAAGGGCGGTGAGCGGGTTTTTGGGCGGTATGCGAGGCAAAATTTTTGCGATCAAAGCGTCCGGTATGCGGATTGTACGGTATGCGGTGCGTACGGTATGCGGGGGTCCACTGTACCTATTTCCATGTCTTCTGTCATATTCTGGCTGTTTTATAATATCCTAGCAGCTAGAATCTCCCAAGCTGCCAATATCAACAGGCATCAAAAGGCATTAGTCTTGTGGACGAATGTGCTAAGGACCCAGTGATATTGGATGCTATCCTGGTTAAGGCCTGTGTGCTCAACAACATGACATACCTGTTTTTTTTTTTTTTTTTTTTTTTTTTTTTTTTTTTTTTTTTTTTTTTTTTTTTTTTTATATATATATATATATATATGGTAAAGGATTTGGACAGTGTCTCGTTACACTAAAAGCATGTCCAAAAAAAGACATTCCATTGCCTATCAAGACCTTGATTATGTTGGGCTCTTGTGGTGCCTCCGGGAAGATCCTGATCATGCTTGGAGTGAGATCAGTTGATCTATCCCCAGTTCTTTTTAACCCTGTGATAGATGAGTATGTGAACTAGTATTTGCTGACAATTTTGTCATGGTTGTGAAAACCCACGGTGGACTCTAGATGGTTATTGACATCGTATATAGCGCCTTGGCTGGGGGCAGTTTTGAGGTCAACCCTAGAAAGTGCTGTTCAATGCCCCTTAAGGTTGATGGCCACACAAAGAAAGTTATACCAGGAGTGACGTACCATTTTTGTATTAATGATGTGCCCATCATCACCGTGAGTCCCACTGATGAATACAAGTACTTAGGGGTACTTGTTGGACCTGGTGGCATGGGATACTCCTTTGGTTTCCTGTTCGAGGAGTCTCTACAACCTCACGGAGGCTTCCCTCAAACCACAGCAGAGGATTACCCTCCTTTGGCATTACTTGATACCAAAACTCACCTGCCACCTTCTCTGGGTGCACACTTAAGATGCAGCTGGGGAGGTTTGATTGGCAGGTGTGCCAGAGCACTCTCAAATGGTTCATCTGCCACACAACACCCCAATTTTCTTCTTTCATTCTTAAGTTGTAAATGGAAGATGGGGATTGCCTGATTTTTGTCTCCACAATTTGCAAGTAAAATGTAGGCAGATAATTTCATTGCTTGCTTCAATGGATGGTTAGGTCAGTGAGGCACTGGGAGACTCTAATTCAGGAGAAGATTTAGTATTGTGTTGGACCTGTAAAGATTGCAGATTCGAAGGTACTGTATTTGATGAGTGAGCTCTCCCTGGCATTGCATCAGAATCTTCGCTAAACTTGTGATGGAGTCTCTCATGTCAACATGTGATGTTCCATCCATTCGCCATTGGGCATCCTCTACAAATGCGTGTTTTAAATGGCCGTGATGATGTCCATACTATTTAAGTCCAAATGACTGCTTGTGCAACTCCATCTAGTCTGTCTAGAGGAAGGCCCAGTACTTCAAGACTTAGAGATTCTTGCAGTGTTCTTGGAATATTGGTCCATATCTTGCAAGTATGCAAGATGAAGAGATCATGTCGAAGGGCAAACAGAGATATAGGGAAATTTATATGCAAGCAGTCAAGATAACTAGGGTATCAGGTCAAGAGGGAATGTGTATACTTTTGGAAGGCACCTTCTGTACACCTAACATCTTTGCTGGGAAGAGTATGGCAGCTACATACTGAACATGGTCTCCATGCATTGATTTCCACTCGCACATGTGAGTGTAAATATGTGCAGTACAGTGCCTCCACCACTCTTGAGTCAGTTTGGTATGGCCTCCATTGTCGTCATCTCAGTTGCCCAGAATTGGTGAGGTGGGTGGGTCAAGAGAGCATGTATGCTCTTAAGGCTGTGGGGCTCTCACTGGGATGTGGACATATGCTCAGTGAAGGCCTTAGCCTGGACCCATTCTATTGAATGTGGTCTGTGAGCGCGGGAACGCGGTTGAATGACTGATGTGATGCTTGGGGTTGCCGATGCATTTGGAGCAGCAAAGGAGAAGGCTTGAAATCATTCTCCATGCTAGTAGGATACTGTTTTCTCAAAGGGTGGGCCAATTTGGGGCTCCCTGGCTTCCCAGGTGAACTGCTGATGAACGGAGTCTTTTAATATATATTTTCTCTTTCTCACTTTTCCTCCTTATATTAGCTTACATGTTCCCTGCACATAGTGTTTTTCACATGTTCTGTATATAACTGGTCTGCAGTATTGTAATAAAAATGTAAGCAAAAAAATAACTAGGAACAAAGATGACTGCCCTGGCAAAGATGTCCACTTAACAAGTGGACATTATGGACTTGGTTAATACATAATAATAGGAGCTTGTAATCTTTATGGTAATTGGGTGTTTTCAGTAGCAGACGTCTGTGCACAAGAAGTACTGCTGTTGTAATGTTCAAATTGTCCATTTTATTGAATTGTTAAAAATACTGCATTTTCTTTACAGGTATGTTCCTAAAGAAGTGCGAGAGAAGCATGGTGTTGGAGAATTATCTCTGCCCAACACGTGGAATTACATCAACAAGCCAAAGGAACGGAGAGACGTAAACCAAGATGATATTGAGGCTTCTGAAGAAGGATCCAAGATATCAAAGAGTATAAAACTAACTCCCATAACTGCATTTGCTAAAAAGCTACCTCTAACTACCATCTCCAGCCCTACTTTACCTGCTTCTTCCACTAAGTCTATGGCTCAATCTTCAGATGCAGATGAAAGTTGTAACAATACCTTGTCTACAACTCCACCTCAACTTGTATCAGCTAACTTGACCTCTGCTTCACCTCTTTCATTGGCCAACATTCAGACTCCATCACGGAAGACTTCATCTGCTCACCCTAAGAAGAAAATTGCACTTACGTCAGAACTACAAGAGCCTGTACCAACTACTACACAGAGTGCTTCCTTTGTGTCTTTCTTCAAAAAATCAGGAGAGAAGTCTTCCTCAAAATCAGATGCGAAGGAAGAAAAGTCAAAAGACAGTCAGGATGCAATAGAATGTATAGTTTTAGATTAAAGTGGGAGGAAATGTTTAGCTACCAAAATTACTATATTGAATTTTAGAGCTAATTAATGTATAATAAAGCAACATTTCATCATATTGATTGAATGCTGCTGAATGTTTTTTATTGTATTAGGGCTTTCCCATTTTCTGGCAGTTGAATTTGTATATAAGTTTTTTCTTATTTACCACAGTAGTCTGCAATAATCTTTACATGCCTCAAGAAATCAGACAAGCAACTTTTCTTTATTAATAAAAGTAATATTGCTTAAAGTTTGGCTGCTAGATTAAACATTCAAGAAGCTGAGGAGTTGATCAACTTTTTTGCAAATAATTTTATAACCTATTTGATTGACTTTCTTTTTCCTATACATTCTGAGTACAGTCTTTCCTCACTTAGCGACGTACTCGTTTACCGATGCCTCGACTTATGACGGGCTCTAATGTATATTAGAGCTGATTTCCTCTATTCTCTATATTTCAATATACAGTACTTTACTGTATAATCATTTGAAAATATACCAGAAGTGTTATAAATGGTGCATAGATGACAAAACAGTATCAAAGATGGTTGACACAAACCCGCTACCATTATAGTATGCTCCTCACTTAGCGACAAATTCGTTTAGTGATGTGGCCTTAAACATGGAACTCCGTCATTAAGTGAGGAGAGGCTGTATTTGTATATAATATTACATTACTACTACTGCTCAAATTAGACATCTGTATCAGTAGAGCTCCCCAAGGGGAGTTCCTTGATACTGGTGAGCCCTTTGTTTCAAAGAATTAGACTGCTCTTCCCTTGAATTGAGCCTGAATGCCCCTCATTCATGCAGGCACTACATGACCTCAGTGGGTTTAGCATTGCCTCATGAATGTAATAAGTCTTTTAATACATCATCTTCAAGGGGAAGTCTAGGTGTCTCATCCCTCAGGGGAGGTTCCTTGATGCTGGTGAGGGGCTCTTGATCTAGGGAATTAGATCTGTGCTCCAATTCCCTGAATTAAGTTTGAATGCCTTCCATTTACACAAAAATACGCACACACACACAGTAACCAAAGAGGGCGGAGACCCAGGGGTCTGGGGGATGAACCTGGGAGAGAAGAACCTGAGAGGAAAGATTGGGAGGTAGAGCTCAAAAAAATGGAGGAAGAGTGGGGAAGGAAGCTAGCAGAGCTTGGCAAGAAAATGGAGGAGAGGAGAGCAGGCCTCTCAAGGAAGGTTCCTTGATGTTGGTGAGGGGCTCTTGATTTAGGGAATTGGATCTGTGCTCCAGTTCCCCCGAATTAAGCCTGAATGCCTTCCACATCCCCCCCAGGCGCTGTATAATCCTCCGGGTTTAGCGCTTCCCCCTTGATTATAATAATAATGAGGAGAGCAGGAAGTGGGGACTACAAGTCTTAGCAGCAGAAGATAAGTGCTTAGATGAGGAACTAAAAAACCTGAAGCAGAATAGACAAATAACAGTACAGACATGATATCAGGAACATCTATACCAGTCACAGACAAGGGGACTGTAGGGATTCAGGAAAAGATGTGCACAATTGAGAGACCTGTAGACAACGAAAGAACTATGACATATGCAGAGACTCTAGCAGACAACTGTATTACTCTTGGAAGTTGAAGACTTCAGATGAGTCACAAGGATGTTAGGAAGCAGTTCTTCAGTCATAGAGTGGTCAGGAAGTGGAACAGTCTGGCGAGCAATGTAGTGGAGGCAGGAACCATGCATAGCTTTAAGACTAGGTATGATAAAGCTCATGGAGCAGGGAGAGAGAGGACCTAGTAGCGTTCAGTGAAGAGGCAGGGCCAGGAGCTGAGCCTCGACCCCTGCAACTACAATTAGGTGAGTACACACACAACACGGGGGGGGCACTGTATAATCCCTATGACTTAGCACTACTTCATGATAATGTAGGTCCTAGGTAGTAGGTTGGTAGACAGCAACTGCCAAGGGAGATACTACTGTCCTGCTGAGTGTAAAATAGAAGCCTTTACTTGTCTTACATGATGGTAGGATTGCTGGTGTCTTTTTTTTTCTGTCTTTTTTTAGCATGTCGGCTGTTTCCCACCGGGCACGGTGACCCAAGAAGAAAAAAAAAAAAATGTCATCATTCAACATTTTCACCATCATTCATACATAATCACTCTTTGCAGAGGCTCTCAAATACAACAGTTTAGAAGCATATGTAAAGATACATAACATATCCTTCTAGACTGTCAATATCCTAAACGTCTCCTTTAAAGTGTAGGTTTGTACTATGTATTTCCGGGACTCAAGCCCAGCTTGTGATGAAGGAATAACAGGAAAAGTTGGTAAATGGATCTATAATTTCCTAACAAATAGAACACAGAGAGTAGTAGTAAAATAGGGTAAAGTCTGAGGCGGCTACTGTGAAAACCTGTTTCACAAGGCACAGTACTCACTCCCATCCTGTTCCTCATCCTCATATCTGACACAGACAGAGATGTAAACCACAGCACTGTGTCTTCCTTTGCAGATGACACCCGAATTTGCATGAACAGTGTTCTCCATTGAAGACACTGCAAGACTCTAGGCGGACATCAACCAAATCTTTATATGGGCCAAAGAAAACTATGAAGTTCAATGATGAGAAATTTCAATTACTCCTATATGGAAATCATGAGGAAATTAAAACTATATCAGAGTGTACAACAAATTCCAACCACAATAGAGCGAAAAACTAATGTCAAAGACCTGGGAGGGATAATGTCAGAGGATTTCACATTCACAGACGACAACATTGTATCAGTCGCATCTGCTAGAAGGATGATAGGATGGATAATGAGAACCTTCAAAACTAGGGATGCCAAGCCAATGATGACACACTTCAGGTCGCTTGTTCTACCTAGGCTGGAATATTGCTGCACACTAACAGCACCTTTCAAGGCAGGTGACCCCTCAAGGAAGGTTCCTTGATGTTGGTGAGGGGCTCTTGATTTAGGGAATTGGATCTGTGCTCCAGTTCCCCGAATTAAGCCTGAATGCCTTCCACATCCCCCCCCCTAGGCACTGTATAATCCTCCGGGTTTAGCGCTTCCCCCTTGATTATAATAATAATAATAAAGGCAGGTGAAATTGCTGAGCTGGAAAATGTACAGAGAACCTTCACGGCACGCATAACGGAGATAAAACACCTCAGTTACTGGGAACACTTGAAGTTCCTCAATCTGCACTTCCTAGAACGCAGGCGGGAGAGATTCGTGTTTATATACATTTGGAAAATCTTAGAGGAATTAGTACCAAACTTGTACACGAAAATCACTCCTTATGAAAGCAAAAGACTCGGCAGACGATGCAACATCCCCCCAAATGAAAAGCAAACAACACAGTAAGTGTCAGGGACCCAAGACTGTTCAACTGCCTCCCAGAATACATAAGGGGGATTACCAATAGACCCCTGGCTGTCTTCAAGAAGGCGCTGGACAGGCACCTAAAGTCAGTACCTGACCAGCTGGGTTGTGGTTTCTACGTCGATTTGATTGCGGCCAACAATAACAGCCTGGTTGATCATGCCCTGATCTACCATGAGGCCTGGTCACAGACCAATCCTTGGGGGCGTTGACCCCCGAAACCCTCTCCAGGTATACTCCAGGTAATGTGTATCTCTTACCTATATCCCCTCAAGGAAGGTTCCTTGATGTTGGTGAGGGGCTCTTGATTTAGGAAATTGGATCTGTGCTCCAGTTCCCCGAATTAAGCCTGAATGCCTCCCACATCCCCCCCCAGGCGCTGTATAATCCTCCGGGTTTAGCGCTTCCCTTTGATTATAATAATAATAATAATAATCTTACCTATATCTTCTCTACTTATGTCTATGGTTCTGTAACTCAGGTATAGATTAGATTTTGCCACCGAAGTGGCTAGTTTATTGTGCACACCATATCCATCCTGTGGACGGTAGCAGGAAATGAATATAGTATATTAAATATATAAGCATTATTATTATTGTAATCAAGGGGGAAGCGCTAAACCCGGAGGATTATACAGCGCCTGGGGGGGGGGGGATGTGGAAGGCATTCAGGCTTAATTCGGGGAACAGGAGCACAGATCCAATTCCCTAAATCAAGAGCCCCTCACCAACATCAAGGAACCTTCCTTGAGGGGAAATATATAAGCAGAATAACGTCATACACCATTGTTTTGATTGAAATGTAATGCAGAACAATTGCAAACGCTTAATTAATTGAGAAAGGATTATTATTATTATTATTATTATTATTATTATTATTATTATTATTATTATTATTATTGCTGTTATTAAGTGTTAAATATTTCCATTTTTTCCTCTCTTCAACTGTATACACAGTCATGGTTAGTTTAATATGTGTAAAAGGACACATCTAATCATTATGGCACCGCCTCCAACTTACAAGCCATCACATAAGGAGAGTATTAAGCAGAGTAGTCAATACAGTGTATTTGATGCAAGTTAGATGTAATATACAATAATATGGAAGAATATTCCACTAAATTAGTAAAAATGGACCTATGTATTCACTCACTAATATAGTTTTATGAATATGCTGAAGCAAGTGCTAAATATACATTGTTATTTTCCTTCTTACAAGCGGTATCCTATTAGTAAATAGTTATATGCACCCATACCCATCCGTGGGCGGATCAAAGATTACAGAGGTAATATGGGTCAGGGGGACCCAAAGTTTTGATAGCTGAGCAAGTTTAAGGTAATGAACACAATTTACAAAGGGTAATTGAACTCACAATTTACAAAGGTAATGAACTCCAGTAGTCACAATCATGACAAGTTACAAAGGTATTTACAGATTACAGAGGTACGTAATGGGTCCAGGGACTGGGCCCCCAAAGTTTTGATAGCTGAACTAGGTACAAAGGTAATGAGCTCACAGTCATGGTAGAATAATATATTTACAGGGCATTATTATTATTATTATTATTATTATAATCAAGGGGGAAGCGCTAAACCCGGAGGATTATACAGCGCCTGGGGGGGGGGATGTGGAAGGCACTCAGGCTTAATTCGGGGAACTGGAGCACAGATCCAATTTCCTAAATCAAGAGCCCCTCACCAACATCAAGGAACCTTCCTTGAGGGATATTTACAGGGCAACATCTGTAGATGATTTACTAATATCCCTGTTAATGTCAATGACTTTCGGACACTGGAAACAGCAAGGGCTCAATATCAAACTGGCGTGAAAATGTCCAGAGGCCCTTTAACCCCCCAATACCAACAGATTGTTCATGTTCTGCTGATCAGAATAATAATAATAATTATAATAATACCTTTATTTACTTCAAGTACATGTGCAAGGTATACAGTCCTAGCTGACATCAATGACATACTACTATATAGGAAGTCGCTTGTTATGCTGAGCATTTCTGGCAAATTAGGTCAATTTTGTCCCAGGATGCGAACCACACCAGTCCACTAACACCCAGGTACCCATTTTAATGTTGGGTGAACATGGGACAGGGACAGGGACAGGGACAGCAGGTCTCTTATGGAAACACGTCCCTAATGGTTTTTAGCCGTACCGGAGGAGATTCGAACCCCGGACCTCAGTGTGTGAGTTGAGTGCGCTAGTGATCGAGCTAGCATGTTGTATATATTGCAATATATTGTATTAGTTTATGTTCATGTGTTAGGTTAATGTTCTAAGCATTTTCATTCATTGTAATACTTATTTGCAGTATTAACAAGAGATAAAAAATAAGTTTGAGTCAATATTAAAGAGTTGTACAAAGAGGATCCCATTGGATAAGATAAGATTTCGTTCGGATTTTTAACCCCGGAGGGTTAGCCACCCAGGATAACCCAAGAAAGTCAGTGCGTCATCGAGGACTGTCTAACTTATTTCCATTGGTGTCCTTAATATTGTCCCCCAGGATGCGACCTACACCAGTCGACTAACACCCAGGTACCTATTTGCTGCTAGGTGAACAGGACAACAGGTGTAAGGAAACGTGTCGAAATTTTTCCACCCGCCGGGAATCGAACCCGGGCCCTCCGTGTGTGAAGCGGGAGCTTCAGCCACCAGGCCACCGGGCCACATAATAATTAACTTTTTTTTTTAAGGGGAGGGGAGGTTATCCTAAGTATAATAATTGTGCTAATGTGTACCTGTGCCTAAATAGACTTATTTACTTGCTTACTAACAGCTAATTTCCAATGATGCAGGGAAATGTCGCTGTTACCTGGATATATAGCATATGATTCATTTGGAAGTTACATCCAGTTTTCATAATCCATTTGAATCATTGTTCAGCTGTGGTGAAGAGCATTTGAAGTTGTGCAATGGTTTGGACTGGTTGCCTGAGCATATTAACATTTATAGGGACATTTCTTTCAGTGGTTCCACATATCTGATATACGGAATATGAAGTTCTTTCTCCATGTATAGTATTTTAGTCGTACACTGATGTCCTCGAATTATCATTGCTTTGTTCTCTAATTTTTCATGTTCTCCAAGCATTTTATCCTGACACGTGAGCAAGCTGGGATGTCACATAGTCAACTAGCGTTCAGATGTAGCTTAGTTGATATCGTCATGAGGTAAACCATACCACGGGCGGGATTTGAACCCGCGGTCAGAGACTCTCTGACCGCGGGTTCAGTTCCCGCCCGTGGTATGGTTTGTTTGCAATCGTGTCATTACGATTTCGTGAGTCGTCTTGAGGTCACATGTTGAGGGTCCTGGGCTGTGGTCTGGTAGACAACGCTCTCGCCTCATACACATACGCTGTTATTTATGATAATATATGTAACTGTATTTGTGTATACCTGAGTAAACTGACTTAATCCGTGGGTTCGATTCCCGACACAGATAAAAGGTTGGGCATAAGTAATAACATTTACAATGGAAATAAGTTACTCTGACTTTTTTGGGTTATCCTAGGTTCTCTACACATATGCTGCTATGTATGATAATTCTGTGTAACTGTATTTGTGTATACCTGAATAAACTTACTTACTTAGATTACTTACTTGAAGGATACACCAGTAGTGAATGGTTTATTAACAACATGTGCCCATTAACCTAACATATTGCCTGTAAGTAAATTGGTAAGTAATATTAAATAAGTGTGAAAAGTAAAGTAAATAAGTAAGCAAATTTATCTAAACACAATTTGTACACAATTTTTGGATATTAAATCTTCATCAGAGTACAAAACAAATTCTGGCCACAAAATAGAGCGAAACACCAACGTCAAAGACCTGGGAGTGATCATGTCGGAGGATCTCACCTTCAAGGACCATAACATTGTATCAATCGCATCTGCTAGAAAAATGACAGGATGGATAATGAGAACCTTCAAAACTAGGGAGGCCAAGCCCATGATGACACTCTTCAGGTCACTTGTTCTATCTAGGCTGGAATATTGCTGCACACTAACAGCACCTTTCAAGGCAGGTGAAATTGCCGACCTAGAAAATGTACAGAGAACCTTCACGGCGCGCATAACGGAGATAAAACACCTCAATTACTGGGAGCGCTTGAGGTTCCTAAACCTGTACTCCCTGGAACGCAGGAGGGAGAGATACATGATTATATACACCTGGAAAATCCTAGAGGGACTAGTACCAAACTTGCACACGAAAATCACTCACTACGAAAGCAAAAGACTTGGCAGACGATGCAACACCCCCCAATGAAAAGCAGGGGTGTCACTAGCACGTTAAGAGACCATACAATAAGTGTCAGGGGCCCGAGACTGTTCAACTGCCTCCCAGCATACATAAGGGGGATTACCAACAGACCCCTGGCAGTCTTTAAGCTGGCACTGGACAAGCACCTAAAGTCGGTTCCTGATCAGCCGGGCTGTGGCTCGTACGTTGGTTTGCGTGCAGCCAGCAGTAACAGCCTGGTTGATCAGGCTCTGATCCACCATGAGGCCTGGTCACAGACCGGGCCGCGGGGGCGTTGACCCCCAGAACTCCCTCCAGGTAAACTCCAGGTACAATTCCCCTCAAGGAAGGTTCCTTGATGTTGGTGAGGGGCTCTTGATTTAAGGAATTGGATCTGTGCTCCAGTTCCCCGAAATTAAGCCCGAATTAAGCCTGAATGCCTTCCACATCCCCCCCAGGCGCTGTATAATCCTCCGGGTTTAGCGCTTCCCCCTTGATTATAATAATAATAATAATAATCCAGGTACAATTGTATTACATAGTAACATAAGTGTTAATTAATCATTGCTGACTATTACTGGACTTGACATATTCAGGTAAAAAATGTGTAAAATATGAATCATAAATGTATGAAACCAATTAAGTATTTTGTGTCATTAAAATCCAGCCATTCATAATTATCTCGGAACTTTAATATTTTTTCTCTAAATATAAACTTAAAAATATCATGATCCTTTCGATGCCAGGTTAGCCAACATAATGAGATGAAACGTATTTTCCTACCTTTATCTTTAGCTGAATGGGATAAGTAGAAACATTTAATGTATTGATGAATGCATTTAATTCTTGTTAATGGTAGAGGTGAAGGTCGTTTGATGAGTAAGGTTATGAAGAGTGACGAGAGAGGTGATGGTAGTGAGGAAGGTAAGGTTGGTAGATCTGGAAACAGCCATATTAGAGGCAACATGTCTGCCGCTGTTGTGAACGATGTTGGTGCTAAAGTAGAGGAAAAACATCATAATGAAGAGGAAGATGTTGATGATGTCGATGATTTAGTTGACGGGTCTGCACCTGAGGCTGCCAAGAAAAAGAAGAAGAAGAAGAAAAAGAAGAAGGCAGGTGAGATGAGGGACAGCTGGGTTGACCTCGGCCACGACTTGCTCAATATCGATCACTTTAAATAGTTGAGGAATAAATATCCTAAAGGGAGGATTCTTAACGCTTGTGAGGGACTCTTGATCAGAGGAGTTGAACCTGACCTTAACTTCCGATCATATCTGATTTCCTCGTATACCCTTAAGCGCTGCACGACCCCATGGGTTTAGCGCACCCCGTCAGTGTAATAATAGATTTAAATCAATACGTAACTCAGTAAATATAAGTTTAGCGAAAATTCATAAAGAAAAGTGTAATATTTATTGGTTTATGAAATGAAGATATTTTTATTGCATGGAAATTGAAAAAAATGACTTTAGGTAAATTTTTTTGTCTAATAAAAAAGTATGTATTAGTAGTAGTACAGGTAGTAGTAGTAGGTAAGTTCAACCTAAACCCATTCATGTCAAACCTACTCGTATACCTAACTAGTCTATGTTCATAGCTACCCAGAGTTCTTGCCTCATTGAGTGCCTGGGAGTTTGTTTCACTTGCACAATTTTCGGTGCTCGTAGTTTGGTTGATAGTTGTCACACTGAGTGTCCAGGATCAGTCCTGGCATGGGTGAAACATCTAGCATGTTTCCTTAAACTTGTTGTTCCTGTTCACCTAGCAGTATATACCTGCATACTGAGGGACAGGGTTAGCCTAATTTTCCCAAAATGTTCTGCATAACAAGGGGCTTTCTATATATTATGCCAGTGATGTCAGCTTGGCCTGTTGTTAGAAATAACGACAGGGTAATAGTAAGTGTATTTCTTCAAACCACTAGATTCCTTCTCTCCATCGACACCACCACATCTACAAACAATTGACGGTAAACGGAATTTCATATATAATATTTAATTCTCTTCCTGCTCCCAACTCCTTACACTTTCCAAATTATATTTGTCCACCCTTCAAGGCATGTTCCTTGATGCTGGTGAGGGGCTCTTGCTCTAGGGAATTGGATCTGTGCTCCAGTTCCCTGAATTAAGCCTGAATACTTTCCACCTCTCCCCACAGGTGCTGTATAATCTTATGGGTTTAGCGCTTCCCCCGTATAATATATTTGTCCAGCTTGAATCAATTGCTTTGAGTCCACTCTTCTTAGATACTCTCAGTTCATTATTTCCCATTTGTTTTCCATTTGTACTCCTCTGTCATATCTCCTAATTTTACATCTTTCCAGAGTGCAAATTCAGTGCCTTTAGAGGACAAACAATGCAGATGTAGTATAACCGAACTTTGCAAAAGCCTTTGACAAGTGCAACCATGGTGTAATAGCACACAAAATGCATGATAAGGAATAACAAGAAAAGTTGGTAGATAGATCTATAACTTTGTAACAAATAGACCACAAAGAGTAATAGTAAACAGAGTAAAGTCTGAGGCAGCTACAGTGAGAAGCTCTGTTTCACAAGGCACAGCACTCGCCTCCCATTTTGTTCCTCATCCTCATATCTGACATAGACAGAGATTAGACATAGCATTGTCTTCCTTTGCAGATGACACCCAAATTTGCATGACTGTCATCCATCGAAGACACTACAAGACTCCAAATGGACATCAACCAAATCTCTGAGCTACAAAAACATAATGAAGTTCAGCAAAGAGAAATTTCAATTACTGTGATATGGAAAAGCTGAGGAAATTAAAACTGTATCTAAGTATAAAACAAATTCCAACTATACAATAGAGGGGAAAAACTAATGTGAAGGACCTGGGAGTGATAATGTCAGCAGATCTCACATTCATGGATCACAACAGTGTATCTACCACATCTACTAGAAAAATGATAGGATGGATAATGAGAACCTTCAAACCTAGGATTGCCAATCTTATGATGATTCTCTTCAAATTGCTTGTCCTCTCTAGGCTGGAATATTGCTGTACACTAATGGCCCCTTTCAAGGCAGGAGAAATTGCTGACTTGGAGAATGTACAGAGAATCTTCATGGCTCTCACAAATATGATAAAGTACCTAAATTACTGGGAATGGTTGAAGTCCCTTGATTTGTATTCCCTGGAATGCAGGTGAGAAAGATGCATGATAATATACACCGGGAAAATACTTGAGGGATTAGTATCAAATTTACACGTGAAAATCTCTCCCTGCGAAAGGAAAAGACTAGGCAGGAGATGCATCATCCCACCAATGAAAAGCAGGGACACTGTGACTACACTAAGAAACAACACAATGAGTATCAGGGGCCCAAGACTGCTCAGCTGCCTTACAGCATACATAAGGAGGGATTACCAATAGCCCCCCCTGGCTGTCTTCAAGAAGGTGCTGGACAGGCACCTAAAGTCAGTACCTGATCAGCCGGGCTATGGTTGATATTTCGGTTTGTGTGCAGGCAGCAGTAACAGTCTGGTTGATTAGGCCCTGATTCACCGCAAGGCCTGGTCACAGACCAGGCCGTGTTGGCATTGACCCCTGAAATCCTCTCCGGGTATACTCTAGGTAACCATAGGCTTTCTATTATATATGCTGTACTTCTTGATATGAAGCCAAGAGTCCTATTAATTTTTTTCATACACTTATGCACAGTTTTCTTGGCTTTAATTTTCTGCTAACAAGAACTCCTAAGTATTTTTTGTATTCAGTTTGGCTGAACTCTACATTTAGTTGGTATATTCTTTTCCTAGGAGTAGAACCTCACACATGTCTGCATTGAACTGCAACTGCCACTTATCCAGCTACACTGTCAACTATTCCAGGTCTTATTGTAGCTTTCTATTGTCTTTATCAGAAATGATCTGATGGCCTAGTTTAGTATCATTGGTAAGTTTGTTGCTAGTTAAAAACATAAGAAAGGAACACAACAGCAGGGCTACTGGCCCATGCTAGACAAGTCCAAGTCAAACCTCCTGCACCATGTGTCTTATTTAACTGTTTCAACTATCCTTGGATAAGATAACCTTGCCTAACCTAACTTAACCTACAATAAATAAAACATTTGCAGCACTTGGGTATCTTTTATGCAGAAATATTCATTTACACATCAGGCTTCTTCAGTCAAATAAAGGAGAATACTCAAGATGGTAGAGGCAGTTTAGATGTGATCAGTCTGTCACCCTTGGTAAGTGATGGACTAAATTGTGTAAATTGCAGAACAGGCAGGCTGTTATTATGATTTCGTGAATTGTGTAATATTTTGCTCTTCACTGTTCAGACTCCTGACATTAATATTGCTCTCAGTATAAACTTTAATTTTTTTTTTTCTGAATTTGTAGCTTTCTTTTTTTTTTTTTTTTTTAAGCTAATGACACTAAAAGTATAAAATTTGATGGAAAACTTATGGAATTACACAGGCCATGGAATTAGTAGTCTGTGTAATTTATGCATCAATTATTTCGCCAACTTTGAGTCCTATTTTAAGCCAACCCCATGCTCCTTTCGTGCAATTTCATAGCTGTTTCACTCTTATGCCTTCAATTGCATTGATTGCACCTAAGAAACTGAGCATTCAACTACTGCAGCTACCTTGAGTGCACAAAAGCTGGTAATTTGGATAGTTTTACATAAAAATTAAAAAATACCAATTTAAAAACAATGCATTACCTTCAGAGAAAGATTCTCTACCATTTCAGAAGAAATTTTTTTTAAAGTGGAAGCTAAGAGCAGTATTAATTTTAGAGGTCTGGACAGTGAAAAGGTTAATAACATCATCTAATAAAATCAGTCTTGGTGGTTCTTATTACTTTAAATATAGTATATTAGTAGGTAAAAATCTGCTCTGATTCATGAATTCTTTATGCCCAGTGTTCAACATTTTATGTACACTTTCGTTACGTTCCTTTTTATATTGCCATACGGTTCATGCTGTTTTATTTATTAACTGTGATGATAAGTCAGTTTATTTATACTAAAAATTTCAATGTTAAAGCTGGTGGAGTGAGTTCGATCAATGTCCCAGATGGAGATGACGACGTAGATGTCAACGGTGTGGCAAACAGCCAGGCTAAGACTACCTTGGAGGATGGGGATGAGGAGGAGGAGGTAATTAGTATGTCCACTACTATATACGTAATGGGGAAAAAATACAAAATATGTAATTCTTCTTTTAATAGTTGTAGTAATAAAAAGAGGGAAAAAATGTGCCCTCCAGTATAAGACATGGTGGTATAGACTTTGTAGTAGAAATGACTAATTTTTAGCTGTCTGGAGATGTCATTGTCAGTATAACATTTATTAATTAGAAATATGAATTGCATTTTAAAATTTATTAGAGATTCTTATAGATTTTTAGTATGACTCTAAATTAAATGCTTTTCAGAATATAAATTTAAATTATTTTGCTAATATAGTACAGTATTTGATTATGCACCTCCCTTGGATAGAGGTTCTTTAATCTGTTATTTGGTCTGATTGGTTTCTTTCATAAGGTCAGGTCATTAACTGTCTTCTTGTCTATACATATTGGTCTGGGGTGCCACTTAGAGGTTCCTGTGCAGTAGGGGTATTCTGAATGACCAGTCTCGCCGTGGCGGTAGTTGATATGTTTTTCCTTCAGGTGATCTTCTCCGGTGAGGGTGTCAAGTCTGTTGTTTTCTATCTGTGCTCAGGAAGAGCTGCATCTCATAGAAATCTTTTTTTTGGGCATCCTTGTCTACAAAACTTTTGTGGTGATCTTGTGAAGTCTTTGGCTGTTGTAGTTTGTTCAACATTGTCCCCTCAGATGGTCTAGACAGGTTTATGCCTGTCCAGCCTTCTATTCTGAGCTGACATTATACTACCTGATTGAATGACAGGACTACGAGTCAGATTGATCTCTGAATCATTGGTGTGTCATCCATGCATGCTTGGAGCCTAGACCCCTTTCCATGATTATGCCAGTGTACTTGCCTTCTGTTTCTCGTTCTTGTGCCTGACCCTAGAAATATTGTAACATCCTATTTCTGGCACTTTACATTATTTAGGCTTATGACAAAATCACCTTTTGTTTCTATATCTGTATCATTCCCACTTGGGTTCCACCCTAGTCAGTAACAGCCTTCTCATTTTTTGTGCTACTAGTATGATTCCAACCGGGCCTCACAGCAGAAAACAAAGATTTGGATACCAAAAGATACACAGTACGTATTTATGTCAGGGACTGTGGGGGCCCTCGGTTTCCTCTTCTTCAAGTGTGCTGCTCCGACTGATAACTATGGCTAGCCCAGCGAGCATGTGCTATCTGACAAGCATACCATGGCAAGAATAAGTAACACCTATTGAATGGGTGGGACAACTAAATCTTTTATGGTGTCATAATTCATTTAGTAAGTGATGCTAAAATCACCTGTAAAATCCACAGTGCGAAGGTGGCAATGAGGGAGAAGATGGAGGCAGCAAGAAGAAGAAAAAGAAAAACAAGAAGAAGAAAGGAAGTGGAGGGATGAAAGCAGCTACAGCTGCAATGCAACAGACAGATCCACCAACAATCCCAGTGGTTGATCTTTACCCTAATGGTGAGTTGTAAACTGTTTTTTGATGTAAGATTTTCTGGTTTCAACTAAAAATTGTTGCTGCTTTTGATATTTTAGTATTCCAGTTTCTTTTGGAAGATAAAAGTAATTCGGTTAAGGCAGACTATGGAAGAGTAAAGTGAGTAGTAAAGGAATGCAGATGAAAATCAAATTCAAGAATGGGTGAGGCAAAAAGATCACTGAGACATAGAAAGAATATTTAAAGAATGCAAAATGTAGATGAAGTGGATGCAAAAAAATTGTTTGGGCATGGTGGAGTGAATGCTATTAAAATAAGGTGTGTTCCTACAAGAAATGAATCTGATTTAATGTGGCTGTCATTACAACTATAAATAACAAAAAGGCACAATACCGTGACTGGAACGATACACAAATAACCCGCACATAAAAGACAGAAGCTTACGACGACGTTTCGGTCCGACTTGGACCATTGACAAAGTCACACTAACACTCTGGCTCCGCTATGTGGATGACATCTTTGCTCTGTGGCCTCATGACTCCAGTCTCTTCCAACCTTTTCTTGAAGCTCTTAACAATCTTGCCCCTTCCATTAAGTTTAAAGCTGAATGGGAATCTAATTCCTTACTTCCTTTCCTTGATGTCCATGTCCACCGCTCAGATGCAGGTTTTCCTTTTCTGTTTACCGTAAACCTATGCACAGTGGCATGTACATTCACTACTTTTCCTATCATGCTTCCCCTGTCAAGAAAAGTGTTCTTATCTCCCTCTTTCTCCGTGCCCTCCGCATCTGTGATCCTCAGTTCCTTCCAGCAGAAATTTCCACTCTTTATAATTCGTTCTCCCGTCTTGGCTACCCTTCCCATTTCATAGACTCTGCCCTCTCACGTGCTAAACGCAATTTCTTCTCTCCCAAACTCTCTACTCATGGGAACTCTTCTATCCTCTGCCTTTCCTACATTTCCGGTCTTTCTAATCTCAACAATTCTCTCCGTCCCTTAGACATCAAGCTTACCTTCCGCCAGACTAACACTCTTCGCACTAATCTCGTTCATACCTCTCCTCCCTCTACAGATGTTCCTGGTGTCTACTCTATTTCTTGCTCCTCCTGTCCTCTTCAATACTTTGGAGAAACTGGTCGATCTCTTTCTGACAGACTTAGGGAGCACAAAAATAGTGTTAGGCTTGCCGACACTAACAATGCTCTTTTCTGTCACGTCAGAGATCATAGCCATCCTATTGACTGGTCTTCTGCTAAAACTGTCTTCCCTACTTCCAACTCGAACAGTCGCCGTTTAGTTGAATCCTCTCTTATACACAACTTTCCTTGTATGAACCTTAGCCCTGGCTTCGTCTCTGTAGATGCCTTCCTCTCCCACTACATTGTAAAATGCTCCAAACTTCAGAACACCCGTGACTTAACCTGAATCCTCATTTTTTCTTCTTCTTCTTCTTTTTCTTCTTCCTCTTCCCCTTTCCTCTCTCCTTTTCTCCTCTGGGTTGTCTTTCTCTCTCCTGTCTCGTGTTTCTGTTCCTTCTTTATTTTATTTCACCACTTCCCCTTTCACGCACCTCGATGCGCTTGCTCTCCCTCTGTGGGTTTCTAGCTCTCTTGCAGTGCTCCCCTTCCTTTGTATTTGACTGGCTCGTCTTCCTTATTTCCCACTTCTACCACTACCACTACTACTACCTCTTCTTCTTCTACTACATCTACTGTTGAAATTAGACACATGTGCGGCGTCTGGTTGTCTTTGTTGTGGACGTTTCGCCATCCAGTGGCTGGCTGGATGGCGAAACGTCTACGGTGGGGATGCCCGGGTGTTGTGCATGTGTCATTTCATCCTGTCGGTATTATATACAATTCTTGTACTACTACTACTACTACTACTACTACCACTACTACTACCTCCACCTCTTCCTGCCTATATATAGCCGTCCTGCTCCACCTCTGTTAGTGTGACTTTGTCAATGGTCCAAGTCGGACCGAAACGTCGTCGTAAGCTTCTGTCTTTTATGTGCGGGTTATTTGTGTATTACAACTATAATTTGCAGATAACATTTAGCACACTGATGTTGAGAGATTCTGAAGAAAAGCTGTAGAGAAGTTTGGAAGGATGAATAGATGGAGAATGTTGAAGATAATGAGAATAAGTATGTAGCAATATAGGCAATGAAAAAGTGTGATCCGAAAGGAAGGAAAATTGTAAGAAGTAAATATTGTTAAGTACTGCCTTGGTCATAAATGTATCAGCAAAAAGTGCTGTTGAAGGATGAGGTAAATTGTACTCTAAGAGACTTCACTTATACTCTTGCCCTTACCTTCATATTTCACTTTGCCACTCCACTACTGTACTGGATGGCTCTGAGAAGTCTCCTTAAACTCAGTAAAAAGAGTTTGAAATAATCCCTCCCCTATCTACTCCTCCTCTCGCCTCTCTCTTCCCACTTCCCTTTCTTCCCGCTCTAACTCTTCCTTACCCATGTTACAAGATGGGGTTTTACCAAAGTACTGTACAGCCTCTCCTCACTTAACGACAGGGTTCTGTTCCTAGGAGTAGGTCGGTAAGTGAATTGGTCATTAAGCGAGTGGATTTGTGTCAACCATCATTAGATATTTTTTTAATGTCACTTTTGCACCATTTATAACGTTTCTAGTTTATTTTTAAATGTTTATACAGTAGTGTACTGTATACTGTAATAAATAGAATAGAGCAAATCAGCTCTAATATACATAGGTTTGCGTACTGGTTGGAGGGCTGGTCGTAAGTCTGAGCAGTCAGTAAGTGAGTACGTCACTAAGTGAGAAGAGGCTGTATTGTGTTTTTGTATCTTCTTTATTCACAACCTTTGAATGTCAGATACCAAGTATTTGGTTATATTCTAGGTATTTTTCCAATTGGGGAAATTTGTGAATACAAGATGAAACAAGATGATAGAACATCTATCAATCGAATGACATCACCAGAGAAGAAAGCTCTGGAGACTTCGTATGAAGATATGTATCGTGAGATTCGAATTGGCGCAGAGGTTCATCGCACAGTAAGTCATGACAGTTTTTGTGTAATTTTTCAGAATGAAGAAATTTGACGTGCCTTATCACTCGATAGTAAATATTAAAAGTTCTTAGATAATTTATAATTATCTTTCATACAACTGTTCCACTTAAATAAGTTTGCTAAGGCAGTACAGTGGACCTCCCCCCCTCCTCCTCCCCCACTTAACTACCTAGTTAGGGACAGGAGAAATTATTTAACCCTCTGACTGTTTTGGTCGTATATATACGTCTTACGAGTCACCGTGTTTGACGTATATATACAGTGGTCCCCCGCTTTTCGTAGTTCCCGGCAATCGTAAAATTCGCCAATCATAGGGGTATTTTCGTATAAACGTGGACTCGCTTTTCATAGGTTGACTCGCGAGTCGTAGTTCGTCCGGGACGCATACCCACGGCGTGAGCCAGGGTGGCAGCCAGTCTGGCATTGTTTACCAGTGAGCGAAGGTCCCCTCACATGCTCCAGCGAAATATTTCATAATACAGTGGAACCTCGACCAGCGATGGCATCGATTAACGATAAATCTGACTAGCGATGCATTTTATCGTAAAAATTTTGCCTCGATTAGCGCTAAAAAACTCGACCAACACTATTTGTTCCGTCTGAGACGCGTCCACTTCTGGCCAGTGTTTACAAGCCAGCCAGCCACCGCGGTCGCTTCCAAGCATACAGTCGGAACATTTCATATTATCACAGCCTTTTTAGTGATTGCACCTGCAAAATAAGTCACCATGGGCCCCAAGAAAGCTTCTAGTGCCAACCCTACAGCAAAAAGGGTGAGAATTACTATGGATATGAAGAAAGAGATCATTGCTAAGTATGAAAGTGGAGTGCATGTCTCCGAGCTGGCCAGGCTGTACACAAAACCCCAATCAACCATCGCTACTATTGTGGCAAAGAAAACGGCAATCAAGGAAGCTGTTCTTGCCAAAGGTGCAACTATGTTTTCGAAACTGAGATCGCAAGTGATAGAAGATGTTGAGAGACTGTTATTGGTATGGATAAACAAAAAACAGATAGCAGGAGATAGCATCTCTCAAGCGATCATATGTGAAAAAGCTAGGAAGTTGCATGACGATTTAATTAGAAAAATGCCAGCAACTAGTGGTGATGTGAGTGAATTTAAGGCCAGAAAAGGGTTTGGTTTGAGAGATTTAAGAATCGTAGTGGCATACATAGTGTGATAAGGCATGGTGAGGCTGCCAGTTTGGACCAAAAAGCAGCTGAAAAATATGTGCAGGAATTCAAGAAGTACATAGACAGTGAAGGACTGAAACCTGAACAAGTGTTTAATGGTGACACTGACAATGTTGTGAAACACTTTAGGAATGTCATAAAGGAACGGGAGGTACAGGCCTCTATGGGCAGATGTGTTGTGCGACAGAGGTCCAGTGACTCTCAAGCTGGTCCTAGTGGCATTAAAAGAAGAAGGGAAGTAACCCCGAAAAAGGACTTGCCACCTCAAGTCCTAATGGAAGGGGATTCCCCTTCTAAACACCAAGACCGTCAACACACTCCCCTCTTCCCATCCCATCAATCATCACCAGATCTTCAATAAAGGTAAGTGTCATGTAACTGTGCATGTCTTCTTCAGTTTGTGTGTATTAAAATTAATATTTCATGTGTTAAATTTTTTTTTTTTCAATACTTTTGGGTGTCTTGCATGGATTAATTTGATTTCCATTATTTCTTATGGGGAAAATTAACTTGACTAACGATTATTTTGACTAACGATGAGCTCTCAGGAACGGATTAATAGCGTTAGTCGAGGGTCCATTGTATTCCATTTATTTTAGTGCTTGCAAGTACTAAATAAGCTACCATGGCTCCAAAGAAAGCTCCTAGTGCCAGGCCTGTGGTAAAGAAGGTGAGAAATACGATTGAATTTAAGAAAACCATCATTGAACAATATAAAAGTGGTACAAGTGTGGCCGAACTGTCCAGGATGTATAAGAAACCCTACACAACCTTATGTTCCATAGTGGCCAAGAAAAATTAAATAAAGGATGCTGTTGTTGCAAAGGGAGTAACTATGCTGACAAAAATGAGATCACCAGTACTGGAAGAGGTTGAGAAGTTATTATTGGTGTGGATAAATGAGAAACAATTAGCAGGAGATACTCTTTATGACTTCGTTTATTTGTGAAAAGGCTAGGCAGTTGCATGAAGATTTGGTAAAGAAATTGCCTGCAAATAGTGGTGAAATGAGTGAATTTAAGGCCAGCAAAGGCTGGTTTGAGAGATTTAAGAACCGTACTGGCATACACAGTGTGGTAAGGCATGGTGAGGCTGCCAGTTCGGACCACAAGGCGGCTGAAAAATATGTGCATGAATTCCAGGAGTACATAGAGGCTGAAGGACTGAAACCTGAACAAGTGTTCAATTGTGACGAAACAGGCCTCTTTTGGAAGAAAATGCCAAAGAGGACCTTCATTACACAAGAGGAAAAGGCAATGCCAGGACACAAGCCTATGAAAGACAGGCTGATGCTAATGTTCTGTGCTAATGCTAGTGGGGATTTCAAAGTGAAGCCATTACTAGTGTACCATTCTGAAAATCCCAGAGTGTTCAGGAAAAACAATGTTATGAAGAGTAAATTGTGTGTGTTTTGGAAATCTAATAGTAAGGCATGGGTCACGAAATTTTCGTCGAGTGGTTCAGTGAAGTGTTTGGCCCAAGTGTGAAGGAGTATCTCCTGGAAAAGAAATTGGATCTCAAGTGCGTGCTAGTAATGGACAGTGCACCTGCTCATCCTCCAAACTTGGATGACCAAATTTTCGAGGAGTTTGGGTTCATCACAGTAAAGTTCTTGCCCCCGAATACCACTCCTCTCCTCCAACCCATGGACCAGCAGGTTATTGCAAACTTTAAAAAAAACTACACAAAAGCAATGTTTCACAGGTGCTTGACTGTGACCACAGACACTCGCTTGACCCTAAGGGAATTTTGGAGAGAACACTTCAGCATCCTCCATTGCATAACCCTTATAGGTATGGGTTGGGAGGGAGTGACTACCAGGACTTTGAACTCTGCCTGGAGAAAATTGTGGCCAGATTGTGTCGACAAGAGGGATTTTGAAGAATTTGGTACTGACCCTAATGAGCCTATGTCTGTTGTAAAATCAATTGTGGCACTGGGGAGTTCCATGGGGTTGGATGTGAGTTTGGAGGATGTGGAAGAATTGGTAGAAGACCACAATGAAGAGCTCACCACTGAGGAGCTGCAAGAGCTTCAGCAGGAAGAGCAACACATCGCAGCTCAGAATCTTGCTGCAGAGGAGGAGGAGGAAGAGAGATGGAAGAAGGTGCCTTCTTCAGAAATTAAAGAGATTTTTACTATGTGGGGTAAGATGGAAAGCTTTATGGAGAAACATCACCCTAACAAGGTTGTTGCAAGCCAGGTTGGCAACATGTACAGTGACAGAGTCTTGGGCCATTTTAGGGAAGTGTTAAAGAGATGCCAGAAACAGAGCTCTCTCCACAGTTATTTTGTGAAACAGGACTCCAGTGACTCTCAAGGTGGTCCTAGTGGCATTAAGAAACAGAGAAGAGAAGCAACCCCAGAAAAGCAAATGGTACCTGAGGTGTTGATGGAAGGGGATTCCCCTTCCAAACTATAAACAATCCACTCTTTCTCCTCCTCCAGTCTCCCATACACTAAGAAGAATCTCCAATAAAGGTAAGTTTTTTTTTTTTTTTTTTTTCAACAAGTCGGCCGTCTCCCACCGAGGCAGGGTGACCCAAAAAAGAAAGAAAATCCCCAAAAAGAAAATACTTTCATCATCATTCAACACTTTCACCACACTCGCACATTATCACTGTTTTTGCAGAGGTGCTCAGAAATAACAGTCTAGAAGCATACACATATAAAGATACACAACATATCCCTCCAAACTGCCAATATCCCAAACCCCTCCTTTAAAGTGCAGGCATTGTACTTCCCATTTCCAGGACTCAAGTCCGACTATATGAAAATAACCGGTTTCCCTGAATCCCTTCACTAAATATTACCCTGCTCACACTCCAACAGATCGTCAGGTCCCAAGTACCATTCGTCTCCATTCACTCCTATCTAACACGCTCACGCACGCTTGCTGGAAGTCCAAGCCCCTTACCCACAAAACCTCCTTTACCCCCTCTCTCCAACCCTTTCGAGGACGACCCCTACCCCGCCTTCCTTCCCCTATAGATTTATATGCTTTCCATGTCATTCTACTTTGATCCATTCTCTCTAAATGACCAAACCACCTCAACAACCCCTCTTCTGCCCTCTGACTAATACTTTTATTAACTCCACACCTTCTCCTAATTTCCACACCTCGAATTTTCTGCATAATATTTACACCACACATTGCCCTTAAACAGGACATCTCCACTACCTCCAACCGTCTCCTCGCTGCTGCATTTACCACCCAAGCTTCACACCCATATAAGAGTGTTGGTACTACTATACTTTCATACATTCCCTTCTTTGCCTCCATAGATAACGTTTTTTGACTCCACATATACCTCAACGCACCACTCACCTTTTTTCCCTCATCAGTTCTATGATTAGCCTCATCCTTCATAAATCCATCCGCCGACACGTCAACTCCCAAGTATCTGAAAACATTCACTTCTTCCATACTCCTCCTCCCCAATTTGATATCCAATTTTTCTTTATCTAAATCATTTGACACCCTCATCACCTTACTCTTTTCTATGTTTCATTCATCATTTCCCATTGTATTGTTTATGTACTACATGTATATTTCATGTTTTAATACTTCTGGGTGTCAGGAACGGATTAATTGTATTTACATTATTTCTTATGGGAAAATTGATTCGTAAATCGTAAATTTCGTTTATAGTAACGGCTTCAGGAACGGATTAATTACGAACGAGGGACCACTGTACTCATAAATTCTAGCGGCTTCAAATCAAGCAGGAGAAAGCTGGTAGTCCCACATGTGAGAGAATGGGTCTGTGTGGTCATTGTGCACCATAT